TGGGTGCTCCGTGCCCGGTGCTGGGTGCCCCATGCCCGGTGCTGGGTGCTCCGTGCCCGGTGCTGGGTGCTCCATGCCCGGTGCTGGGTGCCCCATGCCCGGTGCTGGGTGCCCCGTGCCCGGTGCTCGTTCCCCCATGCCCGGTGCTGGGTGCCCCGTGCCCGGTGCTGGGTGCCCCATGCCCGGTGCTCGTTCCCCCGTGCCCGGTGCTGGGTGCCCCGTGCCCAGTGCTGGGTGCTCCATGCCCGGTGCTGGGTGCCCTGTGCCCGGTGCTCGTTCCCCCATGCCTGGCGCTGGGTGCCCCATGTGCCCGGTGCTGGGTGCCCTGTGCCCGGTGCTCGTTCCCCCATGCCTGGCGCTGGGTGCCCCATGCCTGGTGCTGGGTGCCCCGTGCCCGGTGCTGGGTGCCCCGTGCCCGGTGCTGGGTGCTCCGTGCCCGGTGCTCGTTCCCCCATGCCTGGCACTGGGTGCTCCGTGCCCGGTGCTGGGTGCCCCATGCCCGGTGCTGGGTGCTCCGTGCCCGGTGCTGGGTGCTCCATGCCCGGTGCTGGGTGCCCCATGCCCGGTGCTGGGTGCCCCGTGCCCGGTGCTCGTTCCCCCATGCCCGGTGCTGGGTGCCCCGTGCCCGGTGCTGGGTGCCCCATGCCTGGTGCTCGTTCCCCCATGCCCGGTGCTGGGTGCCCCATGCCTGGTGCTCGTTCCCCCATGCCCGGTGCTGGGTGCCCCGTGCCCGGTGCTGGGTGCCCCATGCCCAGTGCTGGGTGCTCCATGCCCGGTGCTGGGTGCCCTGTGCCCGGTGCTCGTTCCCCCATGCCTGGCGCTGGGTGCCCCATGCCTTGTGCTGGGTGCCCCATGCCCGGTGCTGGGTGCCCCATGCCTGGCGCTGGGTGCCCCATGCCCGGTGCTGGGTGCTCCATGCCCGGTGCTGGGTGCCCCGTGCCCGGTGCTGGGTGCTCCGTGCCCGGTGCTCGTTCCCCCATGCCCGGTGCTGGGTGCCCCGTGCCCGGTGCTCGTTCCCCCATGCCTGGCGCTGGGTGCTCCATGCCCAGTGCTGGGTGCCCCATGCCCAGTGCTGGGTGCTCCATGCCTGGTGCTGGGTGCCCCATGCCCGGTGCTCGTTCCCCCATGCCTGGTGCTGGGTGCTCCATGCCCAGTGCTGGGTGCCCCATGCCCAGTGCTGGGTGCTCTATGCCTGGTGCTGGGTGCCCCATGCCTGGCACTCTTTCCTCCATGCCTGGTGCTGGGTGCTCCATGCCTGGTGCTGGGTGCTCCATGCCTGGTGCTGGGTGCCCCATGCCTGGCGCTCTTTCCCCCATGCCTGGTGCTGGGTGCTCCATGCCTGGTGCTGGGTGCTCCATGCCCGGTGCTGGGTGCCCCATGCCCAGTGCTGGGTGCCCCATGCCCAGTGCTGGGTGCTCTGTACTTGGCGCGGGGTATTCCAGCTTGGTGCTGGGTGCTCTATGCTTGGTACTGGGTGCTCCATGCCCGGTGCTGGGTGCTTCGTACTTGGTGCAGGGCATTCCAGCCTGGTGCTAAGTGCTCCATGCCCGGTGCTGGTTCCCCACTTGTCTGTGGCCCTGACACTGCCAGCTTTTCAGTGTCTGGACATCTGCATTGTTTCTGCTCCAGGACGCAGGGAGGGCGGGGCGGGGTGGCAGGGGGGTGGGCAGCGGGTCTGGGCAGCTCTGTCTGGAATCAGTGGTGTGGGCTGGGGTTCTGGCCTCTGACCTGGCCTCTCTCCTCTTCCCCCTCCAGGTGTCTGTGAGGTGGGTCTCTGGCTTCAGCGTTGATTTTTGGAGCCTGTGGTTCTTTTAGACTGCTTAAGTGAATCAAGGTGGGAAGGAGGAAGGGGAGGGGGAGGGAAGGAGAAAAGAAGCAGAGGAAGGAGAGGGGGGAGGGGGAAGGGGGGCCCACCCCACCCTAACTGGCTTCCCTGGGGGGTTAGCAAACTGATGTTCAAACTGATGATCAAAGCCCTTTGCAGCTGAGACTGCTGGGGGGGGGGGGGGAGAAGGGGAGAAGCAGGGAGGAAGGGAGAAGCGGGGAGAAGGGGAGAAGCAGGGAGAAGGGAGAAGCGGGGAGGCGCTGAGCTGGGCCTGTGGCTTCACCTGCAGTCTCAGCTACTCAGGAGGATCATAGTTCAAAGCCACCCTGGACAGAAAAATCCGTGAGACTTTTATCCCCAATTAACCACAAGAAAAAAACAAAATCCCGGAAGAATGGCTCAAGTGGCTGAACATCTGCCTTGAGAAAAAAACAGAGTGCGTGAGGCCCAGAGTTCGAGCCCCAGTACTGGCAGAGAAGAGAGGGGAAGGAAAGAAGGAAGGAAGGGAGGGAGGGAGGGAGGGAGGGAGGGAGGGAGGGAGGGGAGGAAGGAAGGGAGGGAGGGAGGGAGGGAGGGGAGGAAGGAAGGAAGGGAGGGAGGGAGGGAGGAAAGGAAGGAGGGAGGAAGGAAGGGAGGGAGGAAGGAAGGGAGGGGGTAAGAAGGAAGGAAGGAAGGAGGAAGGAAGGAAGGAAGAGGGGAGGAGGGAGGGTGGGCGGGGCTGGGTTAGACAGCGCTGAGGCGGGAGGGGCTGAGCTGGAGGCTGTCTGTGAAAACAAACACAGCCTCCGGCTTGGGGCTGGGCCTGGGTCAGCTGGGTCACCCTGGGTGGCTGTCACCCTGGGTGGCTGGCGTGGAGGTGCCACGCGGGTGGGGCATGCGGCCCCGCCCCGCCGGGAGCCCGCTGATAAGCACAGCTGGACTTATCGGCTTCCAGGAGACCTGAAGGTATCAGAGCCAGGTGCCAGCGCCGTGCCAGGGACGGCTCCCCCACTGAGGGTCCAGGTGTGGTGTTTACGTCTCTGGGGAAAACATGTGGCACCTTGCCCGGATGTAAACCCTAGCCCTGCCCGTGAAGATGGCCGGGCCTCCAGGCCTCCATTTCCAGCTGTGACCAGGCTGTGTGTGAGGGTCAGGAGGTGGGGGTGCCAACCCATGAGGGACCCGGGAGGTGCTGGAGAACAGTGTGTGTGTGTGTGTGTGTGGGTGTGGGTGTGTGTGTGTGTGTGTGTGTAAGCACGCGCACACGCTGGGGCTTGAGCGCAGGGCCTGGCTTTTTGCGGGCTAACTGGAGAGGAGTCTCACAGACATTCCTGCCCAGGCTGGCTTTGAACTGTGATCCTCAGACCTCAGCCTCCCGAGCAGCTGGGGCGCCAGGCGTGGGGACTGCGCCTGGTGCAGTGGCTGCGGGAGCTGCGTGTGAGGCTGGCGCAGGCAGCGTCACAGGAATGGGTCACCATCCATCCTCATCGCCCTCCTTTATCCTAGTGACAAACCCTGGCAGCGCGCTGTGCCTATTAGCTCATCTACAGGGGGTGTTACCAAGATGGCTGCCAGAGTTCCCGCCGTCACGCCTAAGATCCAGAATACTAAGCCTGAGCATCCAGACTTCACCTCCCCTGGCACCATTCTGCCCCCGCCTGCGGCAGGCAGGCCGGGCACAGGCAGGGGGTCTGTGCCTGGGGGCGGCGAGGTGGGATGGGGGGCTGCCGTGGCTGAGATGCTCACGTCCAGGGCCGTGGGGTGTCCCGGTGAGGAAGTGCACAGGGCAGAGGCTGGCAGGGCAGCTCCTCAGCCAGGCCGCCCACGACCTCCACAGAACCCAGGCCACTGGTGTGCGCTCGCCCCAGGGCCCACGGAAAGGGCCAAGGGCAGCCTCCACCCCTGGGGTGAGGGCGGCGGGCCCGGGCAGTCGCTGCCGGTCCCGGGCAGTCGCTGCCGGTCCCAGCCAGCCCAGTCCTGTGCTCCTCAGCCCACTGAGCCGAGCCCTCGGACACCCCGCTGGGCTCCCCATCTACAGCTGCCTCCCCGCTCCCAGGATCCAGGGCCACTCCCAGCCTCGCGCTGGAGGCTGGGGAGGCTGATAGGGACAGGACACGGCCGGCAGGTGGCCTTGCTGATAACCCTGGCAGTGCCCGCAGCAGACCCTGCGGGGCTTATCAGCCCCAGCAAGCCCCCGGCCCCGCCCTCGTGCTGGCAAAGAGACACCGAGGGCAGCCTGGGCCGGGCCTGGGAGGCCAAGCAGCCCGGGGAGGCCAAGCAGCCCGGGGAGGCCAAGCAGCCCGGGGAGGCCGAAGGACAGCAGACCTGCAGAGCACCACCCCTCTGCGCCTCCGTTTCCTGTCTGGACGGGGCAGGGGGGGTGAACTCCATGTGGACCCCCCTCTCACTGCTCACCCCTCGGTCCCACAGCCCCCCAGGAAGCTGCTTCCTCCTGGTGACCGGTCTCTGCCCCGCTGGCCTGCCAGACTGGACATCCCAGACTCCTGTGGGGCAGGCGGGGCTCCTTTGCTGGACGCCTCTCCTGCCCATCGCAGTGGCCATGCGTGCGGTCTGGCCGGGCCGTGTGCACCAGCTCCACTTGGGTGTGAGGGCTGGGCGGGGTAGGGGTCCTCATGGCTAGCAAGTGCAAAGGCCCTGTGGTGGCTCTGCCTAGCGTCATGACAAGCTAAAGGCTGCCAGGACTAGGGTAAAGTGAGGAAAGATGAGGCCACGGCTCCACAAGCCATCGTGGGCAGCGGGGAGTCACAGAGGGTTGGGAGCTCGGGGAGCCGGGGCTCTCTGGGCATCTGGGGTGCTTGTGGGGCAGGGCGCAGGCAAGAGGGCGGCGCTGGGACGGGTGCAGCGGTGGAGGGCAGAGGCGGCGGGGAACGACCCAGCCGGGTCTGAGGGCCCTTGGCAACCTGAGCCTCACCGTGTCTGTCAGGCCCCGTCCCAGCCCTGGGAACCCATGGAATCCCCCAGGATTCCACCTCCCCCAAGCCCCAGCTCTAGGACCCCACGGGGCCCCTTCCTGTCCCCCCAGGTCCTAAACCACTCAGCCCTCTTTGCTTTAGCAAAACAGAACTTCCAAGCTCAAAGCACCAAGCACATGGCCTGAGCACAGGCTGGACGGACCCGCTGCCCCCTCCTGCCCCCCCCCCCCCCCGCGCGGGGCGAGGTCGCAGGCCAACAGCTCTGAAGAAAACGAGCTTTATTGTTATCCCCTGCCGGTCTAATAAAATACGGGAATGGCCACAGCTACCTTGCTCCCGGCCTGGCGGGCAGGCGGCCGGTGCGGCAGGGCAGCGCGGCGGCACGCGGCTCCCTGAGGTAGGTGTGCGGGCGCGGCTGCCCGGCCGGGAGCCCGCGCCGTGGCGGCATCGGCGTGGAGCCCCATGGGGGACGACGTGCGCCCCCCCGCGGGGTACACAGCGTCCTGGCTGCAGATCACAGGACACGGGAGGAGGGTCCATCCTGTACCCCTGAAGGCTGCTGCGCATCCCGACTGGGGCCTCACCGGCCTTGGGGCCCGGGTGCCCCCGGGCTCCGCCACCGCCGCCCAGTGACAGAACACAAGTCTCAAAGTCCCCACGAGGGCGGGGCGCGCACCCCGGCACGGCTGGCGGGGGTGGGGGGTTGCCCAGCCCCCGGGCGGGCGCCCCACCTTCTCCCAGGCCCCACGGGCGCGTCACTGCATCCGGTCGGGCTGCAGCTGGGGCGCCTGGTACTGCAGGAAGGCCGCGGCAGCCGGGGCGGCGGCCGGGAGCGAGGGGGGCATCGCGGCGGGGTAGCCGTAGCCCACGAAGCTGGAGGCCGAGCCCGGTGAGGCGGCGTACGGGCACTGGTCGTAGGCGGCTGGCGGGTACGGGGCGTAGGCTGGGTGGGCGGGCGTGTACTCGAGGTAGGGCGAGGACAGGGACGGGACCGGGGTGGCCGGGATCACCATGCTGGGCTGCAGGATGGCTGACGGGTAGACATAGTGGGGCGTCAGCCTGTGGAACAAGCAGAGTCAGGGCCGACGTCAGAGGGGGAAGGCTGGAACTGGAAGCAGGTGGGGTAGGAGAGCAGCTGGACCGTGCCTCAGGGCCTTTGCACAAGCTGTGCTTGCTCCCAGCAGGACACTAGCCCAGCCCCCCCCACCCCCCCCCCCCCCCCCCGCAATGGAGCCCCAACAAAGCTTTCCCAGACTTTCCCCATCTCCTGCAGGACCATGAGATTTAGGAAGCTCAATAAAACTCAAAAGTATGGCCTTGTGGCAGGGTGCTAGGCTCACAAGACTGCCTCCTAGCTACTCAGGAGGCTGAGAGGTGAGGATCGCGGTTCAAAGCCAGCCCGGAAAGTCCGTGAGCCTCATCTCTAATAAACCACCAGAAAAACCCTAGGTGGAGCTATGACTCAAAGTAGTAGAGTGCTAGCCCTGAGCAAAAGAGCTCAGGGACTGCACCCAGGCCCTGAGTGCAAGCCCCATGAGCAACAACAAAAAGTGTGCCGTTTCGATTTAAAATTGAGAATTTGGGGTGGGAATGCGGCTTAGTGGTAGAGGGCTCGCCTAGCATTACACAAAGTCCTGGGTTCGATTCCTCATTACCACATACACAGGAGAAGCTGGAAGTTGTGCCGAGACTCAAGTGGTAGAGCGCTGGCCTTGAACCAAAGCTGAGAGACAGCGCCCAGGGCCTGAGTTCAAATCCCACAACTGACAAAACCAAAACCAAAATCCCTGAGAATTCCAAGCCGGCAAGGGAGGGATGGGGTCCACCAAGGCGAGCCTGGCCACCCCCTGCCCCTCCCCCCCAGGCTCAAGGCCAGGCCAGTGCAGGCGCAGGTGGAGAGGTGGGCGACAGGAGGCCCGAGACCCATGCCAGTGATGCCCTGCGGGCCCACCCCGACTCCAACCACTGACAGAAAACGGGGGTCTGCAGACCCACCCGACTCCAGCCACCGACAGAAAACAGGGTGCCCTGCAGACCACGGGCCCCACGCCTGTCCTGCTCCCCCCCCCCGCCCGCTGCCCTGGCTCCACAGTGTGGGGCACGAGGGCGGAGTCCCTGCAGCCAGAGAATACCCCAGTGACGCCGAGGGGCTGAGCAGGCCCAACCCGTGCCCACGGCGGCCCTGCCCCCCACGCCACGAGCTGGCAGCGGTGTGGGACGAGGCGAGGAGAATGCACACCTTGGGGCGGGGGGGGGGGGGGTTGCTGAACCCCTCACGGGGCAGAGGCGCTAGCACGAAACTCCACGCACGCCTGCTGATTGATCGGCTCAGAGACGCGCCACACCGTGGCACGCCGTGATTCTCCACGCGATTCTGTGGGCAGGCAGCCACAGAAGCTGGAGATCCGATCCCACACCAGGGCTGGCAGCCGCCAAGGCCGCAGCCTGAGCCAGACCGCAGACCCGCACGCAGACCCGCACGGCAGCCATTCCCAGGCCTCTGGCGGAAGCCCGGCACAGGCTCCGCCTGCCCCGCACTCCTGGAGCCTGCACCCTGCCAGCCTGGCACAACACGGCCTGGGTTCAAATCCTGCCGCCCTGGGGAGGCCATCTTTCATTCCCGACGGGACCTGGGCACTGAGCAGAGCTCGCCGTCTGTCCTCCAGGTGTGGCCTCCAGGACCAGCCGTGGGACACCGAGGTTGACAGGAGTGGAGGCTGCAGCCCACCCGGCCATGAGACCTTCCCGACGGCCCTCCAAGTGTGGGGTTCTGAAGCCGTGAGCCCGACTGTCCCCAAACACAGGCCGGCACAGCCCTGCGAGCGGGGGCGTTGAAATGGCTCCCGACAGCCAGGCGGGCAGCGGTCACCCCGGCACGGCCGCCCGGCAGCTGCGGGCCTTCCTGCCCCAGGCCAAGTGAAGAGGAGAGGCTGCAGAGCCGCATCACAGCCACGCCAGAGGCGACCCGAGATGACCAGAGGCCACGCCCAGGGGCGCCCAAGCCGAGGAAAGAAGGCCCACACGTGCACGTGCAAACACACACACACCAACAACCCTGGGCTCCAGGACACACACACCACCGCAGACCAAGACCTTCCTGGCCCTGGGAACCAGGCCTCCCGCGCCCCTGCCGTCCACGGCTCTGCCCGCTGGACCCGCAGGCCTGCAGAGGGCACAAGCTAGCCCAGCCCGGCTCCTCTGCCCCACGTCTGTGGCCAGGACAGGCTGGATGCACTCCCTGCCCCACAGCCTCCGGACTGTGCCACACGCTGAGCACTCTCCTCGCCAATCAGTGCCCGTGTTCACCCCCGCCTCTTCCCAGGTCTCTGGGCTGGGTCACTGGACACAGCAGAAGGAACAGAATCATGCTCAAGACTCCCCAGGCCTCAACAGCTCCAGGACCAGCCCAAGACCTGGGGCTTCCCAGGGCTCCTCCAGCCCCCCAGACTCCACCCCATCTCCCACCAGCCCCAGGACCTTGGCAGCTACCATGCTTCTGCCCGCAGGCTCCTTACCCACCCCCCCCCCCCCCCCCCCCCCCCCCCCGCTGCAAGCAAGCTCACCTTCCCAGATGTTTTCTTGGGCCTGCAGCTTCACTCTTTCTGGCAGTCTGAAGAACAGACCCCCGTCTAGGCCGCTGGGTGCTGAGTTCTCAACACAGCCATGATCAGGGTTCTCTGCTACCCGCGTGTGCGGGAGCCCAGCAGACACAGCTCCCTCCCAGAGCCCTCTCCTCCCACCCAGCTGGCTCAGGCCTCATCAGCAAGGAGCACCGGGGAACCCCCCAGCTTCGCCCACGGGGCCACGTGTGGCCTGTGCCTGACACCATGCAGCCACCCTGGCCTCAATTTCCCCATCGGCAAACTAAGGATGCCAGAGTGCAAGACCGAGCTTGCCCGGGCCCGGGCTGCCCTAGGAGGGGCTGGGTGAGAAGCAGGGCACCTGCGCCCTCAGTGGACAGGGTGGCTGCTGACAGGTCACCCCAACGGGCAGGCCTGGCACACAGCCTGTCACGAGAGACAGGGCCTGGGCTGGGAAGGTGGCTCAGTGGTAGAGCGCTTGCCTTGCATGCCTGAGGCCCTGGGTTCGATTCCTCGGCACCACATAAGCAAAAAGAAAAAAGCCGGAAGTGGCACTGTGGCGGCTCAAGTGGTAGAGCGCTAGCCTTGAGCTGAAGAGCTGAGGGACAGCGCCCAGGCCCAGAGTTCAGGCCCCAATACCGGACCCAAAAAAACAAAACAAAACAAAAAAGAGATAGGGCCTTGCCCTGCACTCAAACCCAAAGCCCCGAGGGAAAGGCAGGGCTGGGGGGGGGGGGGGGGAGTGGGGGAGCGTTTCCTGAACAGAGCCACCACTGAAAGAAGCCCAGGAAAGGCAAAGGGCCGTTCACTTTTTCTGGCTTTGGGAGCTGGTCCCAGCGCTGCGCTGCCCACCCAGGAGACTCTCAGCAGGAAGGGAGGGCCCAGTGTGCCACCGCTGGCAGCAAGCCAGGCCTTAGGGGTTCTGGGGAACCCCCGTGCAGTGGCAGGGAAGGGGAAGGCTGCCTGTGGTATGGCCGGGACACACATGAACTTGTCACCTGCCCACCCCACCCCCCACCCCCACCGAGTTAGATTGGGACAACCCAACTTGCCGCTCTGCAGCCCAGGCTCATCAAACCAGCACGGAGAGGCTGGGAAACATCTCTCCTCAGCCCAGCACTTGCTGGCAGCCCGGACACCCAGCTTCAGATTCCACAACTGCCATCAAGGCCCCGCTCCCTCCCCCTCCCCCCTCCCAGCCATCCTGCAGGGGGCGCTGGGATCACCAGCTGGGCAGGGGCTCGCCCAGGCCCCAGGGCAGGCTAAGCTCCAGCCCTGTCAGCTCTCTGGGAGCCTCTGCCGGCCTGGCTATGGCCGTGGGGCTGAGCCTCTGTCCAGGTCTCCAAGCCTCCGGCTCCTCGTGGCCTCTGGGTCCGAGGCTTCAGAAGAGGCCCTCTCCAGCCAGGCCCCGGCAGAGTGGGAGCTCAGCCTTGGAGAGGAACGCAGAGGCTGGCTTCCGGCAATGCCCGGGCACAAACAACAGGTGCAGCACGGGCCTCGGGCGCCCTGGCTGCTGTCAGACAGCCAGACAGGAAGCGGCTGTGGGGAGTCGGCAGGGCCACCCCAAGAGAGGGGAGAGAAAGGTGAGGCTGCACAGGGCGGCGGGGGGTGGGGGGGGAGAGCCAACACCCAGGGACTTGCTCCACGGTGGGCTTGCAGACAGCGCTGCAGGACGCTCTGCCCACCTGACTTCTCGTCCCAGACCCAGACGGACCCTGAGGTGCAGAAACAGCGCAGGAGACCCAGGCCCTTTCACACCCACACCCACAGCCCTCCCTGGCCAGGAGACCCACCCCTCCACCACCACCACCCTCCCTCCTCTTCCCCCCCCCCCGGCCCCCCGCGACGACCCTCCCTGGCCAGGTGCACTAACAACACAGGCCCTGCGCGCCAGGCCGGCTTTGCATGGAGCAGCATCCTTCTTTGCATGCGGTTCTTCTGACTCACACAGGCTCAGCCCCCCCCCCCAACCCTGCACCCCCTGCTGGCACCTCTCCACCAAAGAGCTCCCCGCTGCACATAGTTCTTTCTGCCCTGCCACCCCAAAAGATAAGCTGTGTCCCTGGGGGTCGGGACCTCTTGCTGGCCCTCACTATGGAGACAGGGCTGACCTGGAACTGGGGATCTTTCAGCCTCCACCGCGGCCTTGCCAGGCAGGGAGTGAGCACCCCAGGCGGCGTGCACCTCGAGTACCAGACACGAAGGGCTCTGCTCTGGTCTCCTTGCCCCCCACGGCCGAACTATTAGTACCCTGAACTGACCCGCGTGGGGGGAGCTCAGGCCTGGTCCAGAACACCAAGAGCCACCACGGGACCCGCAGAGGGCTCGGAGGACCGAGCGTGGGTCTGGCAGGTTCCAGCTCCGGTCATCACAAACACGCCAGCAGTCCTTGCCGTGAGACAGAGCCCAGCGTTCCCCGAGCCAGGCGGCCAGTGCGCCAGGTACAGTGGTCATCCTCCAGGGGACCCTACACAGGTGGGCGTGTGGGCATGTGTGTGTGCGTACGTGCATGCGTGTGTGTGTGTGTGTGTGTGTGTGTGTGTGTGTGTGTGTGTGTGTGTGTCCGGCCGACCAGCTGGCCTGAGGCTGACCTCAGGGCCTCAGCACTGGTTTTTAGCCTTTTCTGCTTACGGTGCTCTACCACGTGAGACACACTTCCACTTTAGGCCTTTTCTTTTCTGTAAATAACTGGAAATAAGCGTCTCACACACTTTCCTGTCTGGGCTGGCTGTGTTCAGACCTCAGCCTTCTCTAAGCAGCTAGGATCACAGACACCAGCCAGCAGCGTCCAGCAAAGATCCTCTTTACGAATGGGGATCTTCAGAAACAGCCCACAGAGGCCCCAGGGGCAGCCTGGCCAGAGCAACCTCTGCTGCTGGGCTCCTGACTGACCCAAGCTGAGTGGACAGATGCCCTTGACCCTCAGAGGCCCTCCCAGGCCAGGCCAGCACACTGCCTGGACACAGGAGATCTCCAGAAAGCAAGAGCCCCTCCGCCAGGCAGAACTGCCTCCTCCCTGCATACACACACACACACACACACACAAACACACGCACACACACATGCACGCACGCACACACACGGCATCCACAAGGGAAACCCACAGGCCTGGGGTTCAGAAAGGAAAGGCCTGGCGGGGCCGGGCATAGAGCAGTGGCAGATGGTTCTGGGGAATCTCGCCAAGCTGACAGTCTTTCTGGGCAACGAGGCCAGGGCTCCTAGCAAGGCTTGCTGAAAGTCTTGCCACGGACTCCTCTGAACCAGCCGAGCCCTGGAAAGCCTGGAGAACGTTTATTCGGGCCCTGTGGCCCCCCAAACTCCCCAGTCCTAGCCCTCTCCCCACATGGTACCCTCATCTAGGCAGGCCTGGCCTCCACTGCCAGCCTGGGCTGACAAAACAGCCGAGCCAGGCCTCCTGTGCCCCAGCCCAATTGTCTGCAAAGACAAAGGGGTCGCTGAGGCCCGGCCCTCCAGGCCGGCCCAGGGCGGGAGCTGGGGCTCACAGATGACCTACACAGCCAGGCCTGGCCGCGGCTGCACCACCCAGCCCGGCCATCCCGCTACCCGGGCCTCCACGGGGGCTGAAGCTCAGGACAGCGCTCGCTGGGAAGAACAGAAAACGTTCTCTGGACGATCCCATCTCTCTGACCTGTCCCTGTACGGGACCTCCACCTCTTGGCAATCAGTGAGCAGTATTGAATGACCACCCCAGGACCAGCTGGTGGTCCAGTTACAAACCACTGCCACCGTGAGTCAGGTGCACATGGCACTGAATCTGTGCCCGACCCCTGAGCACTCCATGCCAGGGGCTCCAGGGACTGCGGGAGAAGGAAAAGGCTGGGCCTTCCTACTCACCTCCCAAAGAGCTGGCTGACGGTGGTTTCCTGGAGTCTCCTCCCACTTACCAACCAGCATCCCCCCTCCCCAGACTACCCAGCCCATCCTCGCCTCAGTCTCCCTGTGGGTGGCATGGGTCCCCACTTCAGAGGCTGGCTGGAAGGGCGCACAGGGAGGTCTGCAGGACGCATGGTACCCCAGCCCACACACGGGGTACTGTTACGAGGTGTTGCTCCCTTTTTCCAGAAGGGAAAATTAGGGTTACCTTGTGCCAGGACCCAAGTGTAGAGTCGGGATTTGAACCCGGGCCTGTGCTGGCCCCAGAGGCCAGGCACTGGTCGCTCAGGCAGCAGCAACGGCTGAGAGCAGAGCTGGATGCGGGTGGGAAGCCCCGGGCCCTGAAGGCAGCAGAGGCTGGGCCAGGTCTGTGCCTGCTCCTCACGCAGCCTTGCAGACACAGACAGAAAGGCCCTTCTCCCTGGTCCAAACCCTTGAAGATACAAAGGCTGGGAGTGAGTGTCCCCAAACACCTTCCCACACGGCCCTAGATCATGAGCGAACAGATCTCAAGGAGAAAGTCTAGAACCATCGGCCCCAGGACACTGCAAGCCTATCCTAGGAGAACAGACACTTCCAGCCAGGCCACCTCCAGCTCCCTCCACGGAATCTGCCAAGCTACCAGGACACCATTGCACTGCCTAGCAGCATAACAGCAACCCGGGTGGGCCACACTCAAATGGAGACCCGAAGTCCAGGGACCGGGATATGGCCTGGGAAAGCTCAGGGAAGGGCTGCCCACCTCTGGTCGAGAGCCACCAGTCCCCGGCTGCTGCAGGGGCCTAACCAGGCAGGACCCCAGACAGGGTGCTCCGTGCCCCGTGCAGCTGCCAGGCCTCATATTCAGCATGGGAAGTGGGATGTGCTGCTCTAGCGCATGTCACACAACAAGCAGCCAGGCCACGATCAAACATCACACCCCAGCTGGGACCCACCCCAGGGGGCGGAGACCCACGGCTGCCTGGCACTAGAGCAGGTCTGAGGGCACGGAGGGAAGAGCCCAGTTCACTGGTTCCCCAGAATGCAGGCAAACAAACGTCCTGCCCAGGTGTATCCAAAGCCGCTCACCACACCTCACAGGTGGGAGGCAGAGGGGGCTGGCATCTCCCAGACTCAAGCTTCCCCCGGCCAGGGATGGAGAAGTACTTCTGCCTAGTCTTCCCCAGTTCACTGCCAAACTACGATCATGCTTCTGAAAAGCGGAAATCCCCCCAATCTTTCAGACTAGCAAAGCCCATGGCCGGCGGCCTCATCTCCAACAACCGCCCACCCCACGCCGGCCACATCCACTCACCCGTAGGTCCGCTGGATCAAGGTGGGTTGTAGCTGCTGCACACCAACAGCAAACCCTAAAAGGAAAGGCCAGTCAGGCTCTCACTCCTCAGGTTGGGGGAGGCGTGCACACCATCCATCCCCAGTCTCAACGGATTACCAGCTTCCTAACCCCTCCCAGGCTACCCCACCCCCCACACCAGCTGAAACAAACGCCAGCCTGGGGGCCAGGAGGGAGCAGCGCCTCTCAGGGTGAGGCTCAGCCTTCAACCCCGAGGGCAACTTCCTCTCAGTCAGGGCAGCTGGCAGTCGGGGGCTTGGGCCCTCCCACGCCGTCCCCGGGGCCCACACACTGGCGAGCTGGGGTCGGGCTCCCGAGCTGGGGTGCGTGCCCGGCAGCCAGGGCTCTGCGAGCACTGATAGCTGACTGCCACTCCCGGAGGGAGGGGGCCCGTCTCACCGGACAGATACCAGCGCTGAATATAGAAACCCAGAAGAGCCGGGAGGAAAACACAAGCTCTCACCCGTCTGCAGGCTGCGAGGCTTGGCGCCCAGATACGCCAGGTTCACGTTGGCCTTGCGGCCGTCGATGATGGGGTTGGGGTCTTTGCAAGCCCGCTCGGCGGCCGCCCGGTCGGCCATGGTCACCTGGAGTGGCACAGACGATCAAAGGCCCTGTGGCCGGGAAGGGAAGGGAAGGGGGGGGAGCACGGCCGCCCCTCCCTCCAGGGCGCCCACCCTCGGGGCCTCCCGCAGGCTGCCCCCCTGGACTCCGGCTCTCCCACAGTTCAAGTCCTGCCAAGTGCGGCCTCCCGGGGCAGAAGCGATCCCCCGGGGAGTGGAGAAGGGAAAACACCGAACCCCAGGGAGGGGCGGCCCCTCCTGGGGGGCCGCGGGTGTCCGGGAGGAGGGAGCCGGCCCGGGCGGGAAGGGAAGTCGGAAAGCGCGTCTCCGGCTCGCTTTCACTGTGGTCGGGGTGCGCTGGGGCGGCCCCGGGGTCTGTTGGGAAACGGGGGAGGAAGGGCGAGGGAAGGCCCCACCGCACCCCGGGGGGCCGGGCCCCTCCCGACGGCGCTGGGGGCGGGGCGGGCGGCGGGGGCGGGGAGGCGGCAGGTGCGCGGCGCGGCCGGGGCGCGGGGCGGCGGGGCGGCGGGGCGGCGCGCGCACTTACGAAGCCGTAGCCGCGGGACTTGCCCGTCTGGCGGTCGGTGATGACCACGGCCTCCTCGATGTCCCCGAAGCCCTCGAAGTACTTCCTGAGCGAGGCGTCGGTGGTGTGGTACGGCAGGCCGCCCACGAAGATCTTGGTGAACGTGGTGTCCTTCTGCGAGCCGTGCATGGCGCCGGGGGCGGCCGGGGGCCGCGGGAAGCCCGCGCTCGGGGCGCTCGGGGCGCACGGCACGGGCTGCAGCAGCATGGGGGGCGCCCCGCCGCTACGGACCCGGGCCGCGCGACGCTGCGCGCATGGGGGGGTGGGGGCGGGCGGCGGGAAGCCGTCAACCTCCGGGCCCGTCCGAGCGCCCGACCGCGCTCCGCACCGGCGCCTCGCGAACTCTGAGCCCCGGCGTCCGCCCCGGGCTTTGTAGCAGGCCCCGCCCCCGCTGACCCCGCCCCCGTCCTCGACCACGCCCGCCGTCGGACCACGCCCCCTCCGCGCGCGGGGGCCGTCGGGAAGTGTAGTCCCGGCCCCGCCCGGCCGGGTCGCCAGGGGCGGGGGCCGCGGTGGGGCGTGATGGAGGCGAGGGGTCCTGGGAAGGGGACGTGGGGGTGAGGGCGCGCGGGAGAGCGAGCGCTGGCGGGGAGGGAGCACAGGGTAGCAGTTCGCCTCCCGCCAGCTGGCTTTTCTGCAGCAACCCCTCGCCCACTTGGCCCGCGCCTCAAGCCGGGCCTGGAGCCGAGTCCCCGCCCCGCCCGGAGGGAGCGCTGTCGGGGATGGACGCCGGACAGGGAGTCTAATCCCGGGGTTGCCAGAGGAACAGCAACGCCCCGCGTTAAGGGAGGGTGATCGGATTTAGGGTCACTTGCACATGTAGGCCCCCCCCCCACGCGCAGCACAGGCCGCACCGGCCTCTGACCCAGTGCAAGACCGGGGCAGGGCGGGGACGGGACCCGATCACGGAGCCGCCCGCGCTGGGGGAGGCCGAGCGCAGCCCCGCCGCCACTGGTGCTGGCGACCCCCGTGGGCCCACCTTTGGGGAGACAAGCAGAGAGATCCCACCCCCTCCCTGTCCCCAGCCACAGAAAAGGGGGACGAAGGGACGAGATCTCCCCGGCCAGCACCACGTAAAGAAGGCCTCTCGTTCGAAAGGCCTGGAGAGTGCCCTGGGCGGGGCGGGCACCCCCGGACCCCCGCTCCGGGGTGAGCAGGCCTCACCCCCTCCTCGGCTCCTGTGCACTGGGGACCTGCAGCTCCAAGGGGGCTCGCTCTCGACCCGGGACCAAGTGGGAGCCGCACCTCTGGCTCCGGGCAGTGGGCAGCGAGGCGGCCGCGGGGCGTCCCGCCGCCCTCCCGCCGGCCCCCGGCCCCTTCTCTGCCCAGGTCCAGTTCCAGCGAGATGGGCCCGGCCCGGCAGTCGGTGGGGACCCCACCCCGGCCTCCTGGGAAGGGAACCCCCAGTCTTCCAAGCTGAGCTCCGTCCGGGGTCTGACCCTTGCCTCCCCTATCACCTGCGATCAGGCTTCCCCTGGGGACACCTGACCCTTCCCTAGGGAGGACAGTGCTTGCTGAGCGAATCCACCCCGTGGTGAGGCCACCCCGAGCCGCCCTGGCCCCTGCGCCCCCTGCATCCCCCGCACACCTTGCATCCCCCATGACCCCTGCATCCCCCATGCCCCTGTGCCGCCGTGACCCCTGCATCCCCCATGACCCCTGCATCCCCCATGCCCCTGTGCCCCCGTGACCCCTGCATCCCCCATGACCCCTGCATCCCTCATGACCCCTGCATCCCCTATGCCCCTGTGCCCCCATGACCCCTGCATCCCCTGCGTCCCTGTTGCACCCACTAGAGGCTCTGAAGGGGGCAGCTACGTGCTCTTGGACCAGCTGGGACCCTATCCCAGGAACTCAGTTGCCCTTCTGTGACACCCAGCAGGGCAACTGGGGCAGGCTGGGGCCAGGGTGGCCGACATGTGGCCTACAACTGCCCTGGCCACCAGCGGCCATGGCCCTTCCCACCCCACCCTGCGGAAGAGTCCGAGGAGGGCGGGAGTCGGGGGGCGCTGTGGGGTCGGGGGCAGGCTCAGTGGGCGCACTGTGGGGTCAGGGGGTGCGTTGTGGGGGTCAGTGGGTGCTCTGTTGGGGTTGGAGGCAGGCTGTGGCTCAGTGGGCGTGCTGTGGGGTTGTGGGCTGGCTATGGGGTAAGTGGGTGCACTGTGGGGTAAGTGGGCACACTGGGGTAAGGGGCAGGCTGTGGGGTAAGTGGGCGCACTGTGGGGTCAGGGGGTGGGCTGTGGGGGTCAGGGGGTGGGCTGTGGGGGTCAGGGGCACAGGGTGGGGTCAGGGGCATGCTGTGGGGGTCAGGGGGCACGCAGTGGGGGTCGGGGGCGTGCTGGCCGGGCACTGCGGACGCTGGAGAGCAGGGCCCGGTGGTCTGAAACTGTGGCCCAGGCCCCGCCCACGTCCTTTTGGGGCATTGCCTCACCAGTGCCCCTCCCGCACCCGCCACCTCCCACAGGAGCGTTGTTGGCCCGGATTTGCACCGGGGATCCTTCCAGGGGTCTGAGGGCGCGTGGAAGGGTGGGGGCATTCTGCTGCTTTCCTGAGAAAGCTCTAGCCAGGCACAAGGTGGGCAGTGCCATGGCCCCGGTGCCCCTCGAAGGGGCACTCAGGGGGGTGGGGGCAGACGGGGCCACCCTGGGCGCAGAGAACAACGAACAGAAAGCCAGGGCTGCGACAGCTCCGACTTCTGCCATTTAGTGAGTACTTTTTCAAGTGCTGTGTGTGTGTGCTGTGTGCGTGTGTGCGCGTGTGCTGGCTGTGTGTGCGCATGTGCGCATGCTGGTGCTGGTGCTTGAACTCAAGGCTTGGGCACCATCTCTCAGCTTTTTTGGTCAAGGCTTGTGCTCTCCTGCTTGAGCCACACTTCCACTTCCACCTTTTGCTGGGTAATTGGAGACGAGTCTCCTCGGCTTTCCTGTCCTGGCCGAGTGTGAATGGTGATCCTGAGGGCTCTGCCTCCGATGTGGAATGGTAGGTGGGGCTGCGAATTCTCCCCCGTCTCTCATAAGAAGGACCTGTTGCCTGGCAGTGCACTTCAGTGCCAGCTCCGGGACTGGTGACTCATGTCTCAGCGATTCACCCTTGCACCAACCACTGCCACAAGTGGACACGCCAACTGGGTTTTCAGAGGGTGGCTACCGGGGTCAGCGGCTGGCCGGCCGGACCCAGGAGCCCATCTTGTCCTCAGCAGCATTCCAAGAGGACAGGTCTCCAGCTCTGGGTGCTGGGCTGGTGGAGCTCGGGGTTGGGGAGATGCGTTGATGGGCAGTGCAGGCCAGGCTGGGCACAGCAGCTGGCCTGACCACCCCTCAGTAGAGGACAGTCAGCCCCAACTCATTTCCATGGATATGCAAAGGGGTTTAGGGAGGAGAGGCGGGCTCAGGATGGCACGAGCTAAGGATGGCTCAAGCTCTAGGTTCCCCTAGCCCTGGGCCTGTGCAAGTCCACAGCTGGCTGGGACTGAGGTGGCAGTTGTCACAGGGCCTTGAATGTGTGGCTCCGGCAGGCTGTGGGGGCACCCGAGAGCCAGGGTCTCGGCAGCCCTCCTGTGAGCAGAGGAACATTCTAGCACAGGTCACATGGTCAGGACTGTGGCCTGGGGCTGAGTAGGGTCCCTTTCCTGTCGGGGCTCCCTTGTCTCCCTCAGGCAGTTCCTGTCTCAGGGTTTGGGAGACGCTGGAGAGGCTCGGGGCCAGGCAGGGACTAAGCCACCAGGACTGGCCACAAGGAAGCCAGAGGCAGGCCTGAGGGGGGTGTGCAGGATTTGCACACAAACTAGACATCAGGGGGTTACCACCTGTAAAAACTGTCAGCTTTCTGGGCTCTAGTGCCTCAGGCCTGTAATCCTAGCTACTCCTGAGGCTGAGATCTGAGGATTAAGGTTCAAAGCCAGCCTGGGCAGGAAACTCCCTGAGACTCTCATCTCCAGTTTAGCACCAAAGAAAGCCAGAAGTGGAGTGGTGGTAGAGCACTAGGCTTGAACACAAAACCTCGGTGCCAGGCCCTGAATTCAAGCTCCAGGACTGGTGCAAAACAAAAAGCTGTCAGTTGGGTAGCAGTTGAGTGACAGCCTAAGCTAAAGTCTAAAATCGGCCATCGTCTGTCACCCCAATGAGCAGCTGGACATGGCCAGCGGCCAGCGGCAGGGCTGGTAGTGTTGGTGCAGACAGGCGCATTTGCAAAAGCCCGGGGCGGTGGGGCCCCAGTCTGGATGACAGCAGTCCCCTCGCTTTGCTTCCCTCTCGCTCCCACAAAAGACTTCAGAAAGCACAGTTGGGTTTCAGTTTCCCTGCAGCAAGGGGCCGCCTGTGCACACAGCCACGGCCGGGGCGGGGCCGCCCGTGTCACTGGGAGACCCACAAGGGAGTCTGGTAGGGCGAAAGCTTTCACTTTCCTGCTAGTGCAGGTTCCTCATTCTCCCTTCTGCCCCCAACACGGGAGTCACGTCTGGAGCTGTGGCCCACATCTTGGGACCATGAGGCACAGACACAGCTCCTGGTACGCGTGACCCAAAGAACATTTGGCAGTGTGGTCTGGAGACATCTTTGGCGGTCACAGACAGGGGAGGAAATGCTAGGGGCATCTAGGGGTGGACATTAGCAATCTACAACGCCCCCTATATCCAAGGACTTACTGGACCCTAATGTCGGTGAGAAGCCTTGTGCAAACGCAGCACTCACAAGGCGGGCCGGCCGTGATTCCACCTCCCCTCCCTGGGCGCCTCTGGCCACGGGAGGAACAAGGCACAGGGGAACACCTCGCCCCACTTTCTCTCCATACGTGTCTTATTCTGGCACTTTTGGGGTGCTTTTCCCCCTTCACCCCCTGGGGCTTCTGCATGAGCAAGTCACACCAACTGAAGTTCCCTTTTCCACCCCAGGAGTAGTAGGGGGTGGGGCGGCTGTTTGGGGAGGGCTGACTAGAGGGAGGTGCCAGCCTCACCACTGGTGACAGACGCCCCTCCCCCCAAGGCAGAGCCTCCCCCCCCTACCCCGCACAGCCGCTGTCCCTGAGTCCAGCCTTCCCCAGCTGCCCCAGGACTCTTGTGAAAAGCACAGCGCTTTGCACTAAGGAAACAAAGCACAGAGCCACAGAGCAAGCCGGGGCTCCTGGACTCCATTCCATGGAATACTTGATTTTTTTTTTAAAATAGGGTCTCGCTATGTACCCAGGCTAGCCTGGAACTTTCAACATTCCTGCATCCACTTCCCTCGCGCCAGGATTACAGGGATGCAACCCACCATGCGCAGCCAACTGCACGGGGTCTTTGCCGTCACGCACAGCCCCGCCCTAATGTGTGAAACG